ACACAGACACACAGACACACAGACACCCCGACACCCAGACACCCAGACACGCAGACACCCAGACACGCAGACACGCAGACACGCAGACACGCAGACACGCAGACACGCACACACGCACGCACACACACACACACACACACACACACACACACACACACACACACACACACACACACACACACACACACACACACACACACACGCGCGCGCACACACGCGCACACACGCGCACACGCGCACACACGCACACACGCACACACACGCACACGCCCACGCACACGCCCACGCCCACGCCCACGCCCACGCCCACGCCCACGCCCACGCCCACACACACACACACACACACACACACACACACACACACACAGGCGTGCGCGCGCGCCGCACGCAAACACGCGTACACTCTCGCGTTCTCTCTCTCTCTCTCCGTCTCTTTCTGCTTGCGTGCTAACGGCTAGAGGCATATGAGTCCGGACCCGGTCCTCAACCTCACTTGCCCGTGCTGGCCAATGCCGCTGCCAACTAGGAACCGAGACAAACAACGCAAATCTTGTTTGACTGTCATACTTGGGACCCCCTCATATGCGCACACTTGCTTCGAATCAGATGGTGTCATTCTCAGGCGTTTGTTGCTAGATCTGCTGTGCATTTTGCTATGTATTGCCGAACTGTGCCTCAGGAAGGTGAGTGGGAAAATTTGTGCGATCAGCTCGGCCAGCAGTCCCAGGTCTTCAGCACAAGCGCATACGAGAGGGCACGCGATGGGTTTCTGGACTTCGGACTTGAGCTTAGTGCCTCCCACTAGCAAATAGCAACACCAGAGGCCAATGGTTAGTACTTATTCTGAGGCCTACAGGCCCCAAATGTGGCGAAACGTGCTGGACTTCCGTGTGCATCATACTGGCAACTGCCTGAGGCTGGGTGTCATCGGTGAATTTCAAGTTTGACAAGGTGCCGGCACTTCTTCCCACACCATGGTTCCAGTCAGTTAGCACTGAACTTTTTAACTTCCTGTACCGTTACACCATGTTCCCCCAGTTTCGCAGACTGTCTGCTAAGTGGCCCATGCCAGTGTGGAAAGAAGGCGACGCACTGGCATCGCAGAATACATGCAATGGTTTTGGCAGTCAGGAGTCAGCAGATCTGGTTAGTGCCAGGTACATCCTGTACATGCCACCCAATGGGATGTACCGAAGGAAACAGCTGGATCTAGTCGAATAGATACGGGAGGGCAGTGCTGGAATGCTGTCGTCAAGAACGTTGACATGAAGTATATGAAGTGCAGCCACTTTAGCAAGATGAGCTTGGCACGTCCAGCAATGGTGTAGTGAAGAAGTTCGAAATTGTCGAGGTTTAAGGTTGAGCAACTACTGTGTGTTTGCAGGCGGAGCAGGGGCAAGATCTCGCCTCTGCAGTCGCCACCGCGTGTCTCGCCTTGCACCAGCATGCACAAGGTCCTTCACATAAGCCAAGAATGGATGTTTTCACCGGGTGTGGTTTTGCTTCTCAGCTTTGCGTCCTGAAGCTCCCTCACACTTCTCCGGTGGATCCCAGCTTCACAGGCCTTTTGTTCGCCTTAGGGTCCAGGGCAGATGGATGGCCCCAACTCACCAGCCCCCGCCAGCTAGGCAGTCCTGGGCGATGGCAAAAACGGCCGAGGCAGAGGACCTCAAGAGTTTTGCATGTGCAATCCAAGGTTTGATCGTGAGGATCTGTTGCGCCATCACACAGACAGCATGATTTGCTCGAAGTGGTTTGGAAAGAACTGTGCAGACAGATAGTGCAACTGACAACTCGCTCGCTCATGCCATCCACTTCAGGACCTGAACCAGGTGCTTGACCCCACTGACCAAGATTGGAGCCAGCGCCCCGTGCGTCATTCTTCTGCCTCATTTCGCTTATGTAGCGCACACGTCCAAAGTAGTGCACTAGGAAGAAACAGCAGACAACAGGAGACGTCAGTTATGCCGAGTCCCGTCAACTGGCCGTAACGTTTCATAGTTTGCTTGCCTATATGATTGCAGATCCTACGCCTCCACCAACTGGGATGTCACTGCTGCAAACCACAAGCACCTGTCGACAAGCAAGTCCTTGTTCAGGAATGTCCCGCTCGGAGATCCGGTCCAACTCCCGCAGGTTGCGAAGCGCAAATATGCGGCCAATTTGTTTTCGCCCAGAGACCAAACCAAGCCGACCAAGCCATGTTTTAAACATGTGAAGCATGTGAGCTGGCCGAAAGGCTCCGCCATGTCTCAAAGCGCAGTCGTGTATGTTTCGGTTTTCTCGCTCGCCTCGTCAGCAGTCGAATGCATCTCCGCCCCTTCCTCGACACTGCTCCAGACACCAATCAGTGCCTGATGAGAAGTTCAATTCTGCACCAGCTAAAGCGGCAAGATCTTGTCAACTTCAAGCATAGGCTTTGTTGTGGGCAGTTTGCAGTTCAAAGCCTGGCAACAGAAGTGGCTTCGTCATAATGTTTTGGACCTGTGGATACCTGTGGGCCAGACTAGGGCAGACCGTGGTGCACCAACTCTTGGCCAGTCAGGGTACCTGGACGGCCCAAATCCTGTGAGATATCCTTGATCCCAGGTGTCGACCACATCACGCTCCGACAGCTACATGTGCCGACCTTTGGACTTCAACAATTATCCAGCCTTTTCTGCGCAGAATGATAGTAGATAGATAGCATTCCCACTTGCAGCTTTCCCATACATATCCTGTGGCATGCAGATTCAGATTGACGTTTGCAAGGCGTTGTCAAATCGCAGCCGGTCCTCGAAGACACAAAGCAAGCGGACCGTGCCGCCGTCTGCAAGTGCCGCACGCAGCTCAGAATTGAAGCACAGAGTGCAGGATGCAAGGGTGCAAGAGGTGGCATGTCAGTCATATTCTGTTGCCATGTCGTGTCGCGCATATGACTGTCCATGGAGGCTGAGAAGCCTTCAGCACAATCGTGTGCTGCCGAGCAATTGCAGAAGTTGGGCGTGGAACGACTTGGACTTCTGCAAAGGTCTCACACAGGTCATCGAAACAAGGTTGTTGGTTGGCTGGAAGAGGTAGCAAGCAGAAGCTTGTCATCTTTATTGCATGAGGAAATGCGGACATGAGCACTAGCCTTACGCACTGCGGATTTCCTTTTAGAGAGGAGACCGCAGCTTGAATTCAGGTGTGCCTGGGCTTGTTCCGCCTCATGAGCCCAGGTCGACCAACACAGTTGATGACGAAGCTCAGGCCAGTTTGGCAAGCTGATCCCTCCGGCCACCCAGGGTCAACCTTGAAGCTCCACTGCTTATGCTTGCGAACTTCTTACACAGATTGCCGTTGGCCAGCGAAGTGGTTTTGCAGGCTTCCAAACTTTGCTCTGGGCTTTAACTCCTCGCAGCCCTGGAACCTGGGATCAGATTGACGAGTCCGTTTTCCATGTTCGTCAACAGTTTTGCTTTCTCCTCCTTCTGTGGAGGGCTTGGGGGAGAGCCGGCAATTGATCACACCCAACATTTCCAGTGATCAAGAGATTCTGGTACATTGGCAGGGGAGAAGAATGTGGGCTTGTGGGCTTCTGCAACCTTTGAACTCCCCCGCGACAGGTTCGCGCGATTCTCGCTGACCTGCTGGGCGAGTGGGCCAGGGCCGCAAACAATGATGATGTGAGAACGCGGGTTGGTTTGACATGTTTATTGAAGAGATGTGTCCTCTGGAAAATTAAGTCTCTCCACTCTTACGTCCTGGTGTTGCATGTGATGCCTCGGGGCCTAAGGAGAAAGTGCAGTCGGAGAATCTTGGAAGAAGAGGCTTCGTCGAAGAGGAGGTGCTCTGATTGAGAGAGGAGCTGATTTGCCTTGAATGCAGAGCTCTGCCATATTCTGCCCCGATGCCCCAGAGCCTGGGACTGCTGACGTCGTCCTGTCATGGCATGGGATATGGCCCATACGGCATGTCATAGCCGCAAGGCCCTACCAAGAAAAGGAGTTCCGGGCCTGTCCCGGGCTCAGAGGAAAAGCAGCCTCTTCCTGCGTGCAAAGCTGCAGCTCTCGTTCTATGATGGCCTTGCCGCACCCAGGGCACAAGTTTTCTAGAGAGCCGTGTTGCACGTCGGGTGGAATTGCCGAAGTTAGTGCGCTAACGAATCCACAAGGTAATTCTTCCCCCAAAATCCTCAAATTGCGAAAAGAAAGATCAAAAAGTAAGAAGTTGGGCGTTTTGATACTAACATGATGTGTGCAATAGGCGCCCTCAATAAAGCGAAATACTCCTTCATCCCTTATTCTTACTATTCATCATGTACTAGTATTGGTCTTACTCAGTATATTATATTCATTCACTCTCTGGAAGAAGAATGAACGTGCTGAGTGAATGAAACCCAGAATAAAAGTTCTTGTTTCGTTGTGTGCACCGAATTCGTTCACATGAAACTTTGTTGCCACTCATGTCTAACTGCTGTCTTGACTACGGAGTGAATTTGCCATCAAATCCTTCATCAACCAATGTGAGCCCCTACTGTGGCCTTCACCCTTAGTCGCCGCTCTCAGATCGTCCGTGGTGGCCGGCCCGGCATGTGATTGGGATGGCTCGCTGTGATTGCACCATGCAGCGCTACGTATGTCAGATTAGCGAATGTTGTGGGATAGTTCCGGACTCTCGGTCGTAGAAGTCAGGGTCAAGTCATGTCAAGTTCTTCCGGGTTCGCCCGGGTTGTATGCTACGGCACCGGCATGTAAGGAGGTTTCTCCATATTTGCAAGAGTCAGCTGCTTCTGAGTGCTTCAAAAGTCGGAGGCGTTTGGTGGCAGCGACCCCGTGAGCATGCCTCTGCAGCGGCCAACGTCGGGTGCGGTGCCGAAACGTACGCAGACAGTCTTTCCAATGGCACAAGATCATGGGCTCTTCGGGCATACGAGGAGATCATTATGCCTTTGCTGACACATCGAGGGCTTGTTTTGAGCAACTTTCGTCGTTGAAAGTCAGCGGTGGAGATGCTGAGGTGTGGCTGCAGGAGCGAGCATGCCATCTTCCAGTCCAGGGTATACCATCCCAGGCTGGAGAGTTACAGACATCAGCGACATGCATCCGCTGAAGGAAGCTAGATGAGGTTTCAAAGCTGTCGCGCGACATGGGGCAAGGGCAACGAGGGGGGGGGGGGGGGGGGGGGGCAGGGCCCCCAAAATGTGCACGTTCCCAAAATATGCACGTCACTCATTTTCCCCTAGTTCACACATGCAGTATTCTTTTGGCACCCCAAATTTAGCACATGTGTGTGTGCCACATGCAACTCAGAGTCCATGTGGAATAGTTAGTCGACTTTGCCCAGTGCAAGGATGCGTTTTTCCATGTTCCTGCGAGAATCCACGACGCTAATTTCGCCATGGCATGTGCAGTGCGGCTGGCAAAACAATCGCCATGAGGCCCAGGTGTCGCATGGCAGCAAAGGACTGCCATAAGTCAGACTGCAGGCCGGACCCGCATTGCCAGTTGCAACTGTTGATTTCAGGTTCGTGAGACATACAGCACACGCCTGACCGAAGAATTATGGGAGCACACTGAGAATCGTAGGACCCACACGTGTCAAGCAAACTCCGCTTGGGCTCGGTGCGGAGCTCATTGCGATGTGCTTCAGTGGTACGTTTGTATCATTGCCGAAGCTTTGCCCGAGGGCTCTTCATGTGGCTAGCTTGCTAAGGTGTGGATTTGCTCAATGCCGGAGGCAGCGAGCCAGCGACTGTGGAGGCGTTTTGATCATTGTGCAAGCACTTGAAACGGTTTCGGTTTCCACATCCCCTGTTTACTGTTTTGAAGGTGCGGGCATTTCTGCTCGCTCTGCATTCCTCGTACATAAACAAAGTTGAATGGAACAATCCCAACGCGCAGGACCCTCGAAAATCCCCAGGCCCTACCAAATGGTGAAGCCCAGATATCTCCAATCACATGAACCAAATCAAGAGCTTGTTCCAGTGCAGCATTCGATGTTTCAATGTTGGATTGCCCGCTAGTTTCTGCATTTAATTGCGCAGTTCCCTGCCAGGTTAGTGCATCATCTCCAGCCGGGGCCCTGTTTGCATCATTGCGGTGCATGCAACTTTGTGAAATTGGCTAGAGGAGCCGGACTGTGCATCAAATTCCACATGGTTGACAAAGATCCCGAGCTTGCAAACCTCGGTCAACCCTTTCAATAGCCAAATCTCAGTTCAAAAATCAGCAAAACGGAGACAGATTGCAGCCAGTGCATTCCGCGCTAGCCACTGCAGGTGCACAAGCTCGTGGAGCCCCCACATTTGCTGCGCACAGTCCGAGCCTCGTCGAGCCTTGTTCCTGCTATTGGGCAGCTCCACCTACAGCGCCGCAATAAATGCTAAGAACCCGAAGTTACTAGTGCTGCACATGCTTAGCATGTGTTTGGCATGAGGCGCTGGAAAGTACAGAGGATGACCAAGATGACGAGGCATGCTTTCCACACCATGCCTTGCATGACTTTCGATCAATGTGAGTCCAAGAGCTCCTTCGTGAACTGGGGGGGCAGCGCTTGCTCTACCGGCTTCATGGAATGTTTTGGATGGAGGATGGAATTTGGCCGTTGGCCCGTTCCTTACAGCTTGTGGCACGTGCTGGCAGATAGAACGCTGTAGCGTGGCGTCTTTGGGGTTCCGGGACCGAAGCAGAATTACTGTTCGGCTGTAGTTGACTAGAGTTGCGGAATATTGAAGTGTGGCCTTCCGTGAGTTCCCTTGAGGGTTTGCCATTTTGTGCGGAACGCCCGCTGATGATTTGGCTTCGGGTTGGTTACTCAGCTAGCACAGCGTAACCGCATGCCAACGCAAGAGGTCCAGATCCAGGCCAGAACTTGGCAGCCATTCAAGTTTCAATCTCATAGCTTGAAACAACTTGAAGTAGCTTGAAAAAGCTGGAAAATGCCAGCTTCTGGTCCGAACCGCGGTCCGAACCGCCATGGCTTCCTCCGAGCTGTCGCTGCTACCCCTGAAGCCAGGGGTGCGCCTTGGGAATCAAGTTGTGTGTGTGTGTGTGTGTGTGTTTTTGTGTGGGGGGGGAAAGGGGGAAGATTTGGAGCTTTCCAGAATTCCTTGTTGAACCTTTGGACAGTCCTCCCCCCCTGCCTCGCTGTGCAGTTGACCCAGAGCCCCCGCCCTTGCCAACCAATGCCCAAATTCCGGCACTTTCCAGGGCCACTTGAGCCAAACTAGTATTAGAGCCTTCCACATCGAGAGTGTCGAGTTTGGGCTTGGGCGCAGGTGAGGCTTCAAGCCTACAAAATCTAATGCCAGTCCCTAAGCAAGTTTCGAATTGAGGGGCTTGGGCTCGGGGCTTCCGGGTTTGTTGTTTTAGGGGATTGGGTTTGTTAAGCTATGGGGTTTAGGCGATCGCGGTTTGGCTTTTAGAGGCTGGGGTTTAAACAAGCTTTAGGGGAGTTGGGTTTGGAGTTTCCGGTTTGAAGTCTTGCTGGGTGCTAGGTTCAGGGTGTGAAGGGCTTGGGCTTGGGGTGAAAGCTTTCCGGGTGTTTCAAAATGGGGTGGCCCCCTCGCCCAAGCGCTCCTAGACTTGCGATGACTTGTGCGCCCAAGTAGTCAAAAAGTTTTTTTATCTGTGTGAAAGTCCTAGTGACATTAGTCACTGTAGCAGTTGTTTAATTCTAAAATGCATTCCCATGTCAAAAACGTGCAAAGTCCAAGCTTATGGCCCGGAATGTGTGGCAGCGGGAAGTGCCTTGCCGGTGTTCGCGGTGTTCACTCTTGCGGCAGGATCAGCTTTGGCGGCGTGTCGCAAATGGCCTCTCGGCAGCGGAGAAACGCAAAAAAGTGAGCTGCAATGGACCGGTGGAAGCAGGTTCCAACGTTTCAAACATGCTCAGGCACTTGCTGGCATGCTTTGCCCGAGCCTGAGCACACCTGAGCCATGGGTTCTGTAGATCACTGGCAATCTGACTTAGCAAGAAGAACCGGGCAGCTTCCAGACCATCAACATGTTCTGCAGTTTGCTAGCATGTTCAAGATGGCTTGTCCTCAGGTACGTTGGACAATTTTTGCTCACGGCCTGCGATGATGGTGCAAAGCTGTCCATCCTTGGAGAGGGCAGCGAGCAGCTGCCTCCGCAGCTCGGCAGCCCTGTCACCTTTTATCCAGTGCAAACCGAAATGAGTGCAGCTCAAACTTGGCGTGGTCTCTTGGGCTCTCGCAACGTTGAAGGCTGAAGCTGCACGATGGTTCATTTGGTCGAGTTCACGGCAGGTTGCTTTTAATTGTGTTGCGTCATGTACCGGCCCCCCCCACTATTGCGGTGGACGTGTAAAGGTTTGATGCAAAATGTCACCCAGGAAGCCAACCCTGACTTCACTCGTTGGTTGTTCACTGCTTGCTGAGGTGTGTGGTTGCGATCCAATTCTTCGAAGGATCCCGGGGATCTGTTTGCAGGCCCTGCCTTCGCTGCCCTTCGGTGCTTCGAAGACATGATCACTAGGCACAGACTGTAGGCATATAGGCATATAGGCATATAGGCATATTCTGGCATGCTGACACCTCCGTGGATACAGCACATGATGGTGATGATCGCGACGGTCTCAAGCCCTGGTTTCTGTCTAGCGCATGATCCGAGCAGCAGAATGCGCCATCATGCAAAATCACACAAGTTACTCGAGGATTCCGTTGGCAGACTTCGTGGATGCATCGAAGGGCCCAGGCAAGATGCATAATGTGTGATTGTGGCTGGGCCATGCTTGACCGTTTGGGGCCTAGGTTGAATTCATAAAATGTCGAAGCGGCACACTCCAGTCCCACAGCGATAGGCTCCATGCAACAACGTATTCAGAAATTCGATGTTCCATTCCTTGTCCACTTGCAGATTTCAGGCCTGTTGGGTTGAAAAAAGATGCGGGGACTCGAGAAAACGTTGTGCAATGCTGCACATCCCGTAAGGTGACTGCGCTGACTTAGATGATTGTTCCAGCCCTGCTAGAGCACCCTAGCTGCAGATGAGGTCCCACTGTCCTAAGCTGGGACTGCACAGCGAGTCATACGTGTGTCAAAGCTCCGATTTGGCAGAAGGCGTTGGTGGATATGCTGCCGAGCGCATCGACCCACAGTCTATCGAATTCAGCTCTCATTATGGGCGTCCAGTAGTTAGGTCTTAGTGCTGGCTAGCAACATGCATCATGAAGGAATTCCATGCCAACCTGTAAGGTAACAGCAGCTGATATCGCGCGGATCTTGGCAGCTACTTCTGGACAAAGCATGCGATCCATGCGAGTCTGGAATCCATTGAACTGTTCATACGTAAGCCAGAAGTCTTTTGGCCTGTTGCTTTCAAAACCGGCAGTTGCTCCAAGCTGCTCCGAGTCTGTGCGGCTCTACACGCGAAGACCGCGTGGTCGCCGAGCTGCTGTCGCACGGGCGCTGATGGCAATAGGAGCTCAGGCGAGCTCCTCTGTCTTTCTGCAAGGCACAATGGTGTCCGCGCACCGCCATGTTAGCAGACTTTTCCATGCCATGGGCAGCACGTCAGGTTGACTCGGCCGCTGTAGGCAGTCTGCATGGGGCCCAGCGCACGAAGCGCATCATGCCAAGCTGCAACTGCAAGTCTAAATACCCTAGATCGCAAAGATCCAAAGGTTCGATAATTCGACAGGTAAGGCAAACGACCATTTAATAAGGAGGTGTCGCAGCGAGGTCACCATTATATCATCAATCCGTCGAAGGACAAAGGAGGCAGAATCCATGATCAAACGGGCATGTTTAGGCAACAAAAGCAAGCTGGAACAGCTGGAACTTTCATGTTCCGTTCCGGCACATGCAAGGCCTGAGCTCCTACCTTGGTGGGCCATCTTCGATGAGGCGGAGAGCTTCCAGCCAGGGTGCCTCGCCCACCATTGGGAAAACACATGACCGTCACCTTCCTGAAATTTCTTGAAGCGTGAAGCTGCCCACCGGCCTCCTCATTTCGGCCCCCTGCAAAGATAAGCTAATTAAGCCCCTCGGCATGCAAGTTGAGATTGCCCTTCATCCTTTCCATATCTTCCCTGGTAGCACTTCGGCTGCCTCTTGGTGAGGCTTTGCGCGTCTCGCAGCCGGGCCGTTCGCTACCGGCTGTCACCCAAGGCATGCGCCATTGGCTGAGGCAATCTTAGGTAGCAGGCTGTCTTTACAGTATGGGGGGGTAGTGACATGTAGTGACTCTTTGCATTGGCTTGGAACATAGGTAGCCCGACACCAGAGTTGGAGGTTCTTTGATGCGTTCCGTGTGTTGGAGGGGTAAGTCGCTTTTTTGGCACAAGCTCAAAACTCAGAGCAGCAGTAGTTTGAAAACATTGTGAAGCTGATGGCCAAGGAAGCCAGCGCCATCTGTCTAAGGGTACTCAAGTATGCTCAGGCTAGTCGTTATTTTGCGACAATACATGCATGCGTGTGTGTGTGTGTGTGTAAACTGCCTGGATCGGGCTTTTGAGGAGTCGATGCACCCCGACGAACCAAATGGATATAATAGCTGGCAAAGACATCATGTTTTGTCCATTGGCCATGTTCGGTCATACAGCGATGGGCTGCCGAACCTGAAAGCTGCAGACGCTGGGGTGCCGCAGGGCCCGACACAAAGAATGGCACGTGTCTCGTTTGCAGGAAATTCGCTTCAATTGATGGGATCCCTTGCTTCCACTTCGCCAGAGTATTCGACTATATGGTCGACTAGACCATATTCGAAGACTTATTTGACTTTATTGACTTTACCATGTAGGTTCATGACGAGTGTAAGTGAAAAAACCACGTCCGCTTTCGCACTCTCGCGCTTCCCGTGAAGCCACATGAACATCATTGTTCATCCCACAGTCATTCGACATGAGGTGTCAATGGCGAGTCCATGGCTTCGTCTATGTCGCCCAAGTGCCGCTCTTAGATTCGCAACTCTACGGTGGTGCAAAGCAGGCATGGCTTTTGAGGCTTGAGGCGCGTTTGAATCACTTGAAGCAGCAGGGAGCGCGTTTGTGCGTGTGAGCCGCGAGCTGCAAACTCCAAGCAAATTCATTTGCTTCAAGCAACAGGTTGCAGGAAGGGGTCTCTTAAAGATTTGCTTCAGAGCTGCACCGCTAGCGCTAACCCTCACCTCCGCAGGTTTCAAGATGTGCTGCGCCCATTGCACTTCAAAATGCCTACCCAGGAAGACTTCTTCAAGGCCTGGCTATGTCCGCCGCTCCATGGACCTGGACGAGCGCGACCTGCATTCCAGGGTTTTTGTTGTTTTTTTCGAGGCTGAAAGGTTCTTTTACACTATCAACGTTGAAACACTCACGCACGTCACTTGTGCTGCTTGGTGCACTTGGCTCAGACTTCTGCCCAGGAGCTTCATCCTCATATGATGTATGGGGCACTCATGTCTTTTCTGGATTCCCTCTACCGGTCCAGCTGGGACGTGGTTCCGTCCGTCGTGCCGCTTGGATCCACATGGCGCCAGGATGGAGTCGTGCCGCCTGTGGACTCAAACACTCCAGGCAGTGCCCAAATCAAGGTCCACCAGAGTTGTGGCGCTGACATTGTCATTGCCAGCACCTGGGCATATTTAGTTTGGCAAGCCGCCTGCAGATCACATGTTAAGCGCCAAACAGATATAGACACTCTCTAACCGAGCGTTTGAACTGTCAGATCCCGAGGTGATTTTCGTTGCTTTTCCCTTGATTGTATTTGAGCGCTTCCTGGAGATCATGGCGGTGTCGCTGGTCCCTGCCTCAAAGCCTCAAGATTTTCCGGTAGTGGTGGTAGTAGTAGTCGTCGCCGTCGTCGTCGTGGTTGTCGTCGTAGTAGTTGGAGCACCAGTAGTAGGAACTAGTAGTAGGTAGGACGATATAGTGGGTACGAGGAATAGGTACTAGTACTACGTACTTGTAGTACCTAGGTAGTAGTAGTAGCAGGTAATAGTAGTAGTAGTAGTAGGTAATCGTAGGGTAATAGTAGTGGCAATAGTAGTAGTCACTAGTAGCAGATATTAGTTATTAGCAGTAGTTACTAGCAGTAGTTGCTAGCAGCAGCAGTAGTCGTCGTCGTCGTCGTCGTCGTCGTCGTCGTCGTCGTCGTCGTCGTCGTCGTCGTCGTCGTCGCGGTCCTGGTCGTGGTTTTGGGCGTGGTCGCAGTAGTAGTCGAAGTAGTAGTCCTAGTAGTTGTCGTAGTAGTAGTCGTCGTCGTAGTAGTAGTAGGTAGTGGTAGTGGCGGTAGCTCGTCATGCCCTTTTAATCCGTGATAAGTCTGCAGAGCATGAAGGACAGCAGAATCATATAGAGAACGCACGAAGTGGCTAGTTGTGCAGCTTCGGCCAAGTAGTTGTTTTGGGGCTGAAATATCAATTGTCATGGTGGCAAGCTCGGGACGGCACGACTTCACGCAATAAACCATGCGAAGCAGCCGGTACCCGAGCATGTGACTTGCAGCCATTGCCCAGTCCGGCAGGTCGTGGCGGAGGCTTCATTTTTCCTGTGGCTGCTCAGACTACGCTCTCGCCTTGACATGGTCAAACCAATGACACAGAGGCTTCCGCCTGTCCAGCCAAATGTGCTTCGGCGAAAATTCGAAATGCAAGAGGACCTGTATATCAGGCTTGTCCCAGGCAATACATTGAATTTCGGATGTCAATTCAATCGATCGGAAAGCAGCTTGTGCATTGTTTTGACAGAGTTTTGAGTGCTTGCACGTCGAGAGACAATGCGTTTCCTCTTGTAATCCTGAGGACGTTTTCCAGCGCACGCTTGTGCGTGTCGACCAGTGCGCCACATGGCCAATTGGACGAACTCCTACGGACTGCTTTTTGCCGCTGTGTGCCACTATTGGAAAGTTTGCACCGTTCTATAATATGCCAAGGCGCTTAGAGTGGCATGATGTGGGCCGCTGACATGAAACACAGCAAAAGGTGCCGTATGGCATTCCTCACATGTAAACGGCATGCCATGATTCCATGATCCTAAGACGAGAACCTTGCGCAAGCACCTGCTGGAAGGAGTGGCTGGAGGGCTGGTTCATGAAGACGCCGATTGCTCGTATCAAGCGTGGTAACGCGGAAGAGTTTCTCTGCTGCCTAGATAGGCCAGTGTGCACATTCAGGGTCCACTTGGGGCTTTACTTTGGCTGAAGCTCGAGGTTCTTCGCTTGGGCATTCTTCAACAAGTATCTTTCAGAGCTCAAGGAGGACGAGATGGTTGAGATGAGCACAATGCTGCAGGACGCAGGGCGGTCAAGATTTGAGTGGTTTGAGCTTACAGGGGTTTAGCCTGTCCACTAGGTTTGGCCTCAACGGGAAGGGTCAAGAAGGATCGGAACCTGTAACGCCCGCCCATCTCAAAGTCGAGCTTCTGCTGGAGGCTTCGCTGTCGGAGTAACCCCTTGTTTTTTTTTCATTATGCTAAGTTGTACATTTGGTTTTCCGCGTGTTGGGTACGACACAAGATTCGCCAGAAAGCAGGAATGAAACAAAAATGAAAGCAGTCCGGCACCAAGTGCAGAAAGCAGATGGACACAAAAACAAACAGATCCACTGCCTGGAAAAGGAAACATCGCAGGAATGAGTCCGACAAACACAGTGAGGAGTGCATGAACAGAGCCAAGGCTTGCCAAACGAGGATGCATGAGGTGTGAAATGCGTGAAGGGTCTGGGTTCTCCGGTTTACATACTCGCCAAGCCAGAGGCCAAACCCAACCGTAAAGAAGTCTTCCGACATGTCTGACATTTCTTTCCATTGTTGCTTCTGTGCCGCGCTACAGAATATTCAGGAGGTGCCAATGTTTTCTGTGGAGTTCAGTTTCAGGGCTGTGCAGAGTGTTGGTGCTCGCCCATGTCAGCTTGGTGACTCGGAATTGCTGCCGGTTTCCTTCGCATGCCCGCACACAATCTGGAGATGTCCGGAGCAAACGCAGGCTCAGCCTCTTTCCGTGCTTCACAGAAAGCCAGTACAGAGTGTGCAGCAGTTTGCATGTCGAAGGTAGTCCTGCACATGTGCAGCTGCTAACAAGGAGTGTGAGCGCCGCTACGGGTGGGAGTTGGCAGAAGGCACGTTCTGGCTGTGAAGATTCGAAGCGCGTTTCAACCAATCAATTTAGTTTCCCCATTGCAACCGGCCACATTTCGGTCAGTTCCACGTAATCGTTCCCGAATACATGGTCTTAAGTGGTTTCGGCATCTGACGTTGCGACCATGGGAACTATATGGAATGATGATTTCTGGAGGGTACGTCACGGATAACATTGCCGGGAGAAGCACTGCCCTCCCCTGATGACTGGTAATGAACCAGCTGAGCGCCAGGATACTCTGCAGGCGTGCGGCCGATGCGCATCAATTTCGACAAGATCCAGGCCGTGCCTGTAAGTGTGCTTAGAAGGTTTGCCTAACCATTGCTAGACAAGCTTGGTGTTCATGATTTTGCGGGGTGGCAGGCCATGTAGCACGGTATTCAACAAGTTGCGACAAAAACGCACATGATGCATCCACTTCGATGATGTTGACCTTTCGTCAGTTTGGGCCCTTGCAGGGGCTGAGTCTAAGTGGTACTCCTAAATCTAGGAGCCGAGGCTTCTGCTATTTCGAGAAGATAATCCTCATATTGGCCATGACTTTGTTTTTGCATGAGCGTGTTTCACCTTACATGTCGGTTCTGGTTGCATAGGCCTGGTATCATCCTTTGTGGTACTACGACGCTTGGTTTGCAGAGAGCGTGATCAAGTCTGCGGCTGAATCAATTGGAGCTAGGATTTGCTGTAACAGTCGGTTACTAGCTTCACTGCATACTCCTTGTAACTCGAAGCCTGTAGCAAAGATGTGCAGGATAGTCATTAATTACGTGTCCGCCGAGGCCGGTATTCTTGGGCTTCGATTAGCTACTCGCTCCACCATGCAACTGTGACTCGGATGACTTGGTGGCCCACTGTTCTGCGAACTGTGCCGACGTACTGTACACATGCATGTACCATCATCGAACTGTGACTCAACCTGCTTGTGTCCAACGATGCTTGTAGTTGCTGTACAAAGACGGCTGCCATTTGTTGCAGCTTGCCTGGGTCCGCCCGCGGACCTCATTCAAGATTCGGTCACCCACATTTCTCCCAGTGACGGGATCACTCTTCACAGGATG